ATATATATATATATATATGTGGAATTTTGAGCAAGTTACACATGATTATGAGCATGTTAATATGCATATAATCTGATGTTGAAATTTCACAGTTGTATGGTACTTTAAAGCAAAAAAAAAGATAACAAAAAGAGATGTTCTTATTTGAAGAAAAATTATTTTCAGCATTTGAAAGTTATTTGAAATTCTTAAACATATGTGAGATGTTTTCCTGTGATGCATTTCTACAGATCTTACAGTACGTGCACTTAAAAATGGGCGCCCTCAGACGCTTTAGGAGAAGGGTTACTGACATTAATAAAAAATAATAAGAATAGTTTTAATTTGTTGTGTTGTGGTTCTTGTAGTTGGTGTCAGAACCCTGCTTTGGGCCATGACACAACAAATGTGTCTTGTGAAGAAGTTCTACAGAACATTAAAAAAGAAATGTTTGCCATTTATATGTTTAGCATTAATTGTTCCATAGGGTTCAAAACAGAATTCCTAAATGGATGACAATCGTGAATGAGGATTTTCTTTGCTTAATTGGTTTATTAGTAAGGTTGATGGGTCAGTGAGCAAAAGGTTTGGGAACCACTGTGGTGAACAGTAAAGGCAAAAATCCAGAGTATTGAAAAGCTTCTTTGTCATGTTTTATAAACAGAATCTTACTTTTCCTTTTTAGACCAGACCTATTGAAGTCAGAAGTCATTCTCCCCAAACTGGACTCGTCCATGACCCAGGTCACCATCCCCAACAAGGGCTCCACCTCTCCTGGCCGCTCTCGCAGAGGAAAACCTCGCTACAGGAAGGCCGGCAAAGGCAGCAGCGGCGACTTGGCTCAGCTTAAAGCCACTCTGTCGTCATCATTAGCAATGATCAACGCCACCTCTTCTGTTCCCAGCAACAAACATCGGCTGGACCCCAGCGCGGCTCTCAGGGGCCTGCAGCACGACCTGCTGCTCAAGAAGATGTCGTCCTCCAGCCCTGATCTTATTTCGACCACCCTGGAGGTTGAAGAGCGGCGAAAGGGGCAGATGAGGCCGGGGCTGGACAGAGCAGGCAGTCAGAGCGCCTCAGCTGGGTTGGAAGACAGCAGAGGGACGGACGGGCCAGAAGACGGGCGGGACGTTGGGGTGGGGACCGATGACCTAGCTGAAACACCTCCACGCAGTGACACGCCCAGCGAAGACGCAGCGTCCATTCCTTTCTCCAGTAGCCCAGATTCACCGTGCGGGAGAGGGGCGGCGGCAGGAAGGTCGTCCGTAATCGGGAACGCTCGTGTTCCCCACGAGGGAGATGAAAAGGAGGAGGGGCCAGTGATCACACGCTCACCCAGAAGTCAACGCCTCACACCAGCAGCGCTGCTCTACAGGGCAGCGGTCACACGCAGTCAGGTAAATCTCTAAATGCTCTCATGGCACTCAATTTCACTTTCACATTAAAAAGAAGCAAGGTAGGTAGGAAGGCGATGGTTCGGTGGAAATAAAACAATTTGGTTTCTACATTTGGTCAAAAAGTTTGTGGAAACCTTACAGCATGGCATCAATTGAGACATCAAAAGTCAAACTTTACCTAACGATTAAAGTGTTTTACTTTGAAAGTTTGCTCTAATAAAGTTCTAATGTCAAAATCTACAGGTTCCTAATTGTCCATGAGGTATTCATAAATGTAATGCTACTAATAAGTGCAACAAAGATCAAACAAAGATTAAAAGATCCTAATTGAATGTCAGTTTGTGGCATTTGGGCCAGACAGAAACGTCACGGATTGAAGTTCCATTGGGGTTTTTCAAGAGTTAGCAGCTGGAGAGTCTCAGATTTAGGAACTCTGTGTCGTGCATTTATAAACTTTTGTTTTAAATTTTCTCCACAGAGACGTGGACTTTCATCAGAGGAAGAGGAGGGAGAAGTGGACAGTGAAGTGGAGCTGCCGCGGAGACGGTAAGAACAATCAAAACATTATTTACACCTGAGCAGAAAAATCCAGATATCCAAACTCAAAAGTCACATTACACATAAAACAAACCAATCATTATTCTGACTTCTGGATTAAATTAATTTGGGTTTGTTTTCACTGTGATTTACTTTTTTTCATTCAACCTTTATTTATACAGGTTAGTCTCATTGAGTCATGAGGACTCATTTACAAGAGAGACCTGTTTTTAACAAAACCACAAATGAGGTACACAGAACAATAAGCAGCCATAAAATGCATATGAATTTAAAAGTAAATAAAAGTAGTGATATAAAACAAAATAAAAACATTATAAAGTGATATAAAATTCTAAAAACAGGAACATGTCTGCATTGTTTTTTGAATTTAACTTAACAAATGTTTAAAGTCCCTCAGAGAGGTCAGAGTCTCAGATTTTTTTTTTTTTTTTTGCAAGGTGTTCCAGGAAACAGGAGAGAAGTAAGAAAAGGCTTTTTACCTAATTTAGTCAGCAC